GACTATACGGTCTACGTAGAGTCAAAAGAAAGAGAGATGATAGGCAATAGAAATCCTATTAAACTAACCCAATTATTTACTGATAATATAAAAGGTATCACAAGTGTGTTCCGATTGAATGCCTATAAATTGAGCATTACTTTTCAAAAGGCTGCTGCAGCAAACAGCTTTTTAAAGCACGAGCACTTTCTGAATAAGCACAAATTTCGTGCGTTAATCCCTGCTCATCTAGTGGAGAGAGTAGGCATCATTAAATTTGTTCCCACTGATTTGTCTAATGAAGAAATATACAAAAATATCACCTGTGACGCTGATGTTATCTCAGTCAAAAGATTTATGAAAAAGGAATTCAATGAACTCGTGCCATTAACAACAGTTGCAATCACATTCTCGACATCCAACTTACCTAAATATGTATTCTTAAATTTATTTAGATATCAAGTAAATACATACATTCCCCCATTGATTCAATGCTATAAGTGCTTCAAGTTTAATCACTCGGCGAAAGTATGTCGTGGCACTCAGATGTGCTCTTCTTGCTCGGGTGCTCATCTCTTTAAAGAATGTGACTCAGAGACTATAATTTGCATAAATTGCGGAGGTGCCCACCTTGCCATTTCTCAAGATTGCCCAATAAAAATAAAGAAAATTGAAGAAAAAAGGAATAAAATACTGAACCAAAATCGTTCTTTTGCCTCTGCAGTAGCAAGTAGTAAGATAGATGATGTAAACTACCCTTTGTTAACGAAAAGAGTTGGAAAAAACAATGTTAATGATGTAAACAAAAATGTAAATAGTGTAAATAAAAATACTGATTCTCTTAGCGAACAACAAAAAATAAATAGTTCTAAGCAAAAACTTGATATTCAATTATAGATATTAACGGGATTGTTACCATGTACCTTGTTTTTTATGAGTCTCCGATATTTCGGCACTGTTGCAAGCGCCATGATCACGGAGTAACTGAAGTAATTGCGGGTAGATGTTATTGGCAGACATATCAGTCTACCCTCTGACGTCGTCTTTTACTGCGTTCGATACTACCACTACCATTGGTCACATTCTCACTATTCACTCGCATTTGTTCCCGGCACACAATACTCACAGTATCAGATCGCGGAACGACACTTTTTTGATTTTTGCGGTTTTTACACATACGAACCACTGGATTCCACACACTAGACAATTTAAACCCATCCTCACGATTGAAATTCTTGTGTTTGGTTATTTCAATCTCTTCCCTGACCAATCTTGGTATGTAGTGGCGTTCTGTCGAGATAATTTGTGGCTTATGGAGCTCAATCCAGTGATTAGGACCCGAATCAATTAAATGTTCCGCGATGGCTGATTTTTGCGTATCATTATTGTGTGCCGGGAACAAATGCGAGTGAATAGTGAGAATGTGACCAATGGTAGTGGTAGTATCGAACGCAGTAAAAGACGACGTCAGAGGGTAGACCGATATGTCTGCCAATAACATCTACCCGCAATTACTTCAGTTACTCCGTGATCATGGCGCTTGCAACAGTGCCGAAATATCGGAGACTCATAAAAAACAAGGTACATGGTAACAATCCCGTTAATATCTATAATGTTAGTGACCATGAAAGTTTAAAACAATATATTGATATTCAATGTATAATTAATGATGAAAATATTGTGAATGCCCTAGTTAAATCTTTACTTGCCTTGGCAAATACTACCAGTAATGAAGCAGTTACTTCTACAAAAATAAAAGAAACTTTGTTAAATTTTTTAATATAATTTAATGGATTTTAGGTCTTATAATGAAATACAAAACAAGAAAACCTATGTAACAATTGCCCAGTTTAATATACAGAGTGTAAATAACAAAAAACCCTTGTTAATTAACTTTCTTAATGAAAATGATATAGACATTTGTATGTTAAATGAAACTTGGTTGAAATCAAATAGCAGCTTTAATATACCAAATTACAAAATAGTATTACAAAACGGACCAAATGGTCATGGAGGTGTAGCTATATTGGTAAAGAATAGTCTTAAATTTACAATAGTACCAACACCATACTTTGATTTTATGCAAACAGTCTCTATAATTTTGAAAACTGGAATTGGCGATCTGTCACTATTAAGTGTTTATAGCCCCCCTAGAAGTGGTCGTTTTCATAGTGGGAAATTAAAACAGATTATCAACTCATTGCCTAAACCAATCATGCTCGCTGGTGATTTGAATGCACATCATGTTGCATTTGGTTGCCTTTCATCAAACTCAAGAGGTAATGAAATCTATAACTTGTTAGATGAATGTGATCTCTGCATACTAAACACAGGATCTCCAACTACTGTAGGCACCATCAGCCATAACCCCTCGGCTATAGACATATCTTGTATTAGGCCCAACATAGCTCCATTATGCGACTGGAAGGTACATGATGATCCAATGGGTAGCTATCATTTTCCCACTTTGATTGATATTCAGACATCTGTTGAGAAGTATGTTCTTGGCACTCCTACTGAGCGCTACAACTAGAAACAAGCTGATTGGTCCAGGTATTTTTCTGAAAGTGAAAAAGCGTTTGATGAATTATACTTTGATAATAATCCTTTTCATGTATATAATTCCTTCTGTAACATATTGAATAATCTCAAACAAAACTGTATTCCTAAGGTTGTAAATAATTATCAGTATAAAATTAAAAAACCAGTGCCATGGTGGGATAAGGAATGTGCTACTGCTGTAAATAATAGTAAATTAGCTTTAAGAAGCTATAGATCAGATCCTACAATAAATAATTATATTGAGTATAAAAAAGTTGATGCCCTTAAAAAGAGAATAATTAGTCAGAAAAAGAAAGATAGTTGGAGATCTTTGTGTGAGGCATTTAATAGATACACACCTATAAGTATGATTTGGAATCACATTCGTCGATTCAAGCATGCTGCTAGCAAAAAGCCTTCTAAAAATGATGACTGGATATCGTCCTTCTTAGATAAATATGCCCCAATATCTCCTCCTGAAAAGGATTTAAACACATCAAGGTTAAATAACATCTTTGAATCTATTGGTAATAGTGAAGCATGCTTTTTGATACAACCCTTTAACATAAATGAGCTTAAGGCATCTCTGAAATCAAGAAAAGATACAACACCTGGCCTTGATGACTTTTCTTATAATTTAATATGTAAACTTCATCCTAAGGCACTCAACATTTTGTTAAAAGTTTATAATTTTCTATGGAATAAAGAGTACATCCCTAACAGTTGGAAAACACAATGTGTTATACCAATATTAAAAGCACATAAGCCAGAAAATGATTGCAATTCATACCGACCTATATCTCTTTCATCTTGTATTGGTAAATTATTTGAAAATTTGCTTAAATTGAGATTAGACTTTTATTGTGAAAAACATAACACTTTACCTGAACAGCAGTTTGGTTTCAGAAAAGGTAGAAGTGCAGTGGAAAATTATGTGTCCCTTATTACTGATATAAAAAATTCATTCCATAGTCATTCATATACTGCTTGTACTTTTCTTGATGTCTGTGGTGCTTTTGATAATGTTAACCCATCTATTCTTATCCAAATCCTCAGTGATAATGGTATACCTGGAAAATTTTGTAAATGGATTTTTAACTTTTTATACAACAGAACAATGTATATTAGGTATAATAACATATTACATGGCCCTAGAAATGTTTATAAAGGAACAATGCAGGGCTCCCCAATATCTCCGTTATTGTTTGGGGTTTACACATCTCAAATTAACAATTATCTAACAGATTCATCAGTTAGATGCCTTCTTTTTGCTGATGATATAGTTGTATATAGTGTAAATAAAGATGTAAATAGTGTTGTTAGGAACCTAAACAGTGGTCTGTCACAAATTCAATGTTTCTATAATAGTTTGAACCTCACAATTAACATTGAAAAAAGTGGAGCAATGATTTTTTCAAGGAAACATGTAGATACAGATAACTTTTCTCCAGTTTTGTTCAATAATGTACCTATAAGATGGCTGCATAATAAGAAATTCCTTGGAATACATTTAGATTCAAAATTAACATTTGAACTACATATTAATCACTTGATTAAAAGTGCTAGCCAGGGACTAAATATCTTACGATCTCTGGCTGGTGTACATTGGGGCTCTGATCCCAAAATTCTATCAATGCTTTATAAAAGTATAGTAAGAAGCCACTTTGATTACAGCAGTGTGGCCTATATGAACACTAATGTTAGTCTTTTAAGAAAACTAGACATAATCCAAAACAGAGCATTGAGAATTATCACTGGTGCCATGTGTTCTACCCCAATTAATGCAATGGAAGCTGAATCCTGCATAGTTCCTTTAAAAATAAGAAGGCTACAGATTGTAATGAAATTTTGTCTTAAATTATTGGCATCTGATAATAATTTAGTATTAAGTAGAATTTTACCAAGTCAAAACCTCCCTGCAAGTTTGACCAGCAATACTGAGATAAGTGTTAATGAACTTATCTCAGATCACTTCCCGGAAATGATAAAAATTGTATTGAATATAAAAAACAGCTGCAATAATGTACAAATTTCAAAACCTTTACCCATTTTTTCTTCAAGTTATGAAACAATAAATAGCAGTATTAATATTGACTTGGAAAAATTATCTAACCAAACTGAATTCTTGCAATATTTACATGAACAGCAAGATGTTTATACTATGTATACAGATGGGTCCAAAACATCAGATAATGTAACTTCAGCATTTTATGACTCTCAGACTAAACAAACGTTTTGTGTGAAATTAGACTATAGGAGTAGTATTTTTACTGCAGAGTGCTATGCCATTTTCAGAACATTATTGTATATAATTGATGTAAATAGTTTGAATTTTTTAGTTGTAACTGCCAGTAAATGTGTCTTGCTAGCTTTAGAAGGTAATTTACAGAAATCCAGTACAAATTATATCTTGATTAACATTAAGAAGTTGTTAATAGATTTAGGCAACAGAGGCAAAAGAGTATTATTTAAGTGGGTACCTTCACATTGTGGAATAACTGGCAACGAAGTGGCAGATGGTGCGGCCAGAGGAGCATTTGATGAAAATCAAACTGATGCAGTCAAAATTCCATTAACAGACTTCCACCAGCAGATAAATGAGTCGGTCACTTTGCTGTGGCATTCCTATTGGAAGAAAATAGCAGAAGTAAAAGGGAAATGGTACACTGCTATACAGATCACCCCGCCGCTAAGACCATGGTATCATAGAAGCAAAGTCGCCGATTCAAGAAACTTTATCACAACAATAAACAGATTACGATTTGGACATTGTAGAACACCGGCCCATTTAACACGATTACGGATTACGGATAATGCAAACTGCACATTTTGTCCAGGAGAAATAGGAGATTTAGAACATATTATGATGAAATGAAATGTCAAAAGTTCAACGTACAACGTTTAATTTTAATATCGAAACTGCAAAATATCTGTGAAACTAATGATTGTGACATGCCAACAGAATTGCATAAACTTTTAGGGAACCATTTATTTTATAAACCTATATTTAATTAAGTATATAAGTAACACCGTAGAAAAATTGTAAAATGTAATTAATTAACATATAAATTTTAAGTTGCATGTTCTTAGTAATAAGCTAGGCATAAGGACAATGTATCCATTGCCAATAAATTAAAAAAAAAGTCAAATCAAATCCAAATGAAATGATTTCTTCATTTGAGAAAGAAATAAACTTAGAAAAAAGCGCGGGAAACGTTTAACTTGGTAGACGCGTTTTATGGTGAAAAACTTTATATATTAATTTTTCGATCAGAAGGGTACATTTTGTATATTTTTGTAAATATTAATTATTATTTAATATATTGTGTACATATTTGGATCATTGGTAAGTCCTCTTACTAATTTTTTACCGTCATGAACGATCCCCCCGATGACCCGGGGGGATTCGTTCCCCCGGCAGGTAATTTTGTCACTGTGCAGTCGGAATCTGGAATGGATACTGATGCATCCACCTCCAATAGGACATTAAAGCGGAGTCGCCGCTCAAATATTATTTGTAAACACTGCAACAAAAAAAGAAGGAGACATGGTAACTCTGAAGCTAAAATAAATGGTTGTTCATGTACATCTGAATCAGATCTTACTCCTCCATCAGTTCCATTACCCACGCCAGAGTCTTCAAAGCCCACTACAAATATAACTGCTAATACAACAAATGAAAAGAGTTTACCTTCATCTACCCCAATTGGCCGGAAAAATTACTGTGAGACTGAGGTAGCTCCTTTCATTCTTCACGTCCAAAAAATATTAACATCCCCTGATGATAAATTCACGATTCACCCTGTGAAGTTTGGCAATTTTTTAAAGAAAAATAGATTCCCAAATATTGTTAACGGAAGTGTCAAGAAAGTAGGTCGCAATAAAATTGCTATTGGTTTTACTAATTATAAAGATTGCAATTTCTTTCTAAATAACAAGTCACTTGAGGAGAACAAATTTAAAGCATTTATACCTACATTTAATGTAACACGAATGGGATTGGTAAGAGGTGTTCCTGCTGAGTGGTCTCCTGAAGAGGTCATGGCTAATTTATCTGTGCCTGTAGGATGTGGTAATATAATAAAAGTCCGAAGAATGAACTTCAAAACTTTTGTTGAAGGCAATCCCACATGGAAGCCATCTCAGACAGTCATTATCACATTTGATGGACAAGTCCTTCCAAAAAGAGTTTTTCTATGCTATAATGCTTTAAATGTAGATTTATATATATTCCCCACAATACAATGCTATCATTGCTGTCGTTTTGGTCACACAAGGGCACAGTGCAGATCAAGTCCTCGATGTTACAAGTGTGGTAAAGACCACTCTGGTGACTCTTGTGGCACTGCAGAGGAGGATGCTAGTTGTTGTTTATGTACTGGTTTCCATTTTGCTACCAACAAAACTTGCCCAGAGTTTATGAGGCAAAAACAAATTAAAACATATATGGCCCAAAATTGTGTGTCTTATGCAGAAGCTGCCAAGGTACATCCTAATGTCTCCAAATCATATGCTGACACCTTAATATCAAAACCTTCTTCTAATCCCATTATTTACAATAAAAACTATAAAATGCCCCTGACTCAACACAACAGATCACCCTCAACATCATACAAGAAAACAGTGTTTCTAAAACCCCAAAAAAATAATTATCACAATATTGGCTATGATAGAGATGCACACAATGCTATTATAAATGATTTTGCAATCCCTGCCCCATCAAATGGATGTGCTCTATTAACATCTAAACAACAAGATAATGACTCACAATTAGAATTAATTTCTGCTCTATTTAATTTATTAGCTAAATACCAATTGATTTCACCGTCCAACGTTGCCCCTTTACTTGAAAATATAATACAACATTCCAATAATGGATCTTTGCAATATAATTCAGTGGAACATTCGTAGTATCATAAGTAATAAAAGTGACCTTATATATCTCACCAATAAATATAAGCCATTTGCCTTTGCTTTGTCAGAAACTTGGCTTAAACCTGATAAATCTTTTAATATTAATGGATATTGTACAGTGAGAGATGACAGACTAGACAGAAACGGTGGAGGAACAGCTATTCTTATTAAGAACACAATTCCATATATAAATATAACTATTCCTCCACATTGTGATGACATCTCTATAGTAGCTATAAGTTTTAATAATATTTGTTTAGTATCAGTGTATATACCACAACCTTCATCTTACATTTTAAGTGATCTAAACAACTTGCTCTCTTCCCTTCCTAAGCCTATCTTAATTCTAGGAGATTTTAACTGTCTGGGGAAGCTCTCAGTGTAGCTCTTTTGGTAGAGAATTAGTGGACATACTGGACACACATAATTTATGTTTCCTTAACACAGGTAGCCCAACACGATGTACAGATCCAAATCAGAATATAAGTACTATAGATTTATCTATTTCTTCTCCAAGCTTAGCCTCTTCTTTGTCTTGGGAGACTCTTACATATACATATGGTAGTGACCACTATCCAATAATCATTGGATTTCCAAGTCATCAAGTAAAGCACTCCCAAAAGTTATGTTTGAGAAAATATAAATATTCTATTAGAGACGACACTACTTGGAAAACTTTCAAGGATAGAGTTGACACTAAGATTAATCAACTACCAAGTGTGAACAGTAGTAATGATATTGCTTGTGCACAAATTCTGACTGACATTTTAACAGAAGCTGCCTCTGAAACTTTTCCTTCCAAGGCAAATACTTTAATCAGAATTCCATCTCCACCTTGGTGGGACAGCGAATGCACCCAAGCAATTAAAAAAAGGAAAAATGCAGAAAGACTCTATTGTAAAAATATGACATATACTAACTATGAAATACTATGTAAACTCAAATCAGAAACAAAAAAGTTATTCAAAAATAAGAAATTTGAAGGCTGGAAGCGTTTCTGTACTTCTATTTCTCCTAATGTCCACCCTTCAATAGTCTGGAATAATATTAAACGTTTTAGATCTGCCTTTAACAAAACTTCTTTTTCTACTCTTCCTCCTACTCTTGCGAACGACTTTCTTGATAAATTAGCACCGCCATGGGTCCCGGAAAATAATTTAACCCTACAAGCCTCCTCGTTAACGTTATCCACACATTACTTAGAACGTCCATTTACTTTATATGAACTTAAAGGTATTATCAACAGCGTTAGAGACTCCTGCCCAGGTGATGATGGAATTCCATATAGTTTCTTTTCAAATCTTAGTGATACAGTACTTTTAGGTTATTTAGATATCGTAAATAGTTTCATGATAACTGGAAACGTCCCGTTACCATGGAAATCTCAGAGAGTATTGCCAGTATTGAAACCTAATAAATCACCAAATGTTGCTGATAACTATCGTCCTATAGCGTTATCTACTGTTTTAGTCAAATTGGCTGAACATTTAATAAAAACCCGTTTGGAATGGTTTTTAGAAAATAAACAGGCTCTTTCTTACAGTCAATATGGGTTCCGTAAAAGCAAAAGTACTATTGATAATATTAGTATATTCACCATAGACGTTCGATTAGCTTTTACGTCCAATAAATCAGTAGTCGCTGCTTTCCTTGATATAAAGTCCGCGTACGATAATGTAATTTTATCGATATTAAAATCTAAATTGGAAGCTCTTGATGTTCCCCTCCGATTTTCTAACTTAATTATTAATTTACTTAATGAGCGAACTGTGAAATTAATATTTGATTTTGACAATGACATGACCAGAACTGTCTGGAAAGGTTTACCACAAGGTTCTGTCCTAAGTCCTCTATTATATAATGTTTATACGTATGATTTAGAAACCGTATTTAAAAATAATGTTAAAATTCTTCAATACGCAGACGATCTTCTTATCTACTCTAATGATAGCTCTATAGAAAGAGCTTCCTCCAATGTATCATCTGCTTTGTCTTGTCTAAAGAAATGGCTTGATCAGAATGGCTTAAGCCTTTCAGTGTCTAAAAGTAGTGTGGTGATATTTTCTAGAAAACGTAAGGTTCCCCCAATACAAATCATGTATGATGTTGATAGTATTCCTGTTCAAGACAGCTTTAATTACCTGGGAATTATTTTAGACTCCAAAATTACCGGCGCACAGCATTGTGAACATTTGGTTAATAAATGTGAACGTCTTTTAAATATTCTTAGGTGTTTAGCTGGTGTCTGGTGGGGCGCTCATCCCTTTACTCTCAAATTACTTTATAATTCCTTGATACGTAGTATATTAGACTATGGTACTTTTTTATTAGAACCTGGGAGTAGTAGCGCTTTAAAAAAGCTTGACCGTATACAATCAAAAGCTCTAAGATTGGTTACAGGAGCCATGAAGTCAAATCCAATCAATGCTTTACAGGTAGAGTGCTGCGAATCGCCATTACATCTTAGACGCCAATATTTATCTGATAGGTATCTCTTTCGTTCCATCCAGTTAGCTCATCACCCAATTTTTTTTGGGTTGCAATCTCTGACAGAAAAAATGGAATATTCCAATTATTGGGTTAATAAATGTTCTCCATGCTTAATAACTAGCTACAAAAAATATTTGAACCTCCAATCCCCTATACATCGTTCTAATTTACTTCCTCCCTTTGAAGCTAATTACGAGTCCTTGATTTCATGTCCAGATATTATTTTAAATTCTATTAACAAAGATTCCAATACAAAATTTAATTTCAAATACCTTATTGATACTGAATATAATAACCATCATCATATTTACACGGATGCCTCAAAACATAATCCATCTGGTAATGTAGGTATAGGTGTGTATCATGCCCAATATAACATTGTTCAAAAAATCAAATTACCCCCTGAATCTTCGGTGTTTACAGGCGAATGTTATGGTCTTTTGAAGGCCTTGGAATACATAATTACTATGAAACTTAAAAATACTATCATATTCACAGATTCTATGAGTTCTCTCCAAACACTAAGCAAATTCCCCCTCAGAATGAAATTTCATTTTCCATTTATTTATGAAATAAGAAAACTACTTTACAAGTGTCAAACTTATAACTTCTCCGTTCAGTTCATGTGGATTCCAAGTCACTGTGGCATTACTGGAAATGAGCTATCTGATAAGTTAGCAAATAAGGCAGTGTATTGTGGGGACATGCATCCTTACAAAAACTATAGCAATGACCTTTTATCTCTTCCTAAAGATGATCTTTATAGTGCCTGGTGTAATATTTGGGAACGAAGTTCGCGAGAAAAAGGTAAATTCTTTGCATCAATTCAACCACACATTCCTATAAAACCATGGTTCCGTAAATCCAAGTATGGTAAGAAAGAAATCTCGATTGTAATTCGCATGCGTCTTGGACATGTCTGCACTCTTGATCATCTCACTAGAATTGGCATTATTAACAACAATATATGCGACTGCGGCATGGGTATGGTTGGTGATCTCAACCACATATTCTTTGTTTGTTTAAAATATGACCGCTCCTTCTTTTTCAATGATCTTGTGTCCCTTCATATTCCTTTCCCTACTTCTGTGCCTACCTTATTGTCCACTAATAAACCATCTGTATATAATAGGCTAGTTGACTCATGTCGAATTGTATTAAATAAATGTTTATTTCTTAAAGTATTTGGTCTAAGGAACCTAAATATAACGATTTCACTTCATAAAAGCAGAAGATTGCTGCAGAAATTTAATTTAAAAAAATATTTTTTAGCCTATATTTTCTAAACACTAAAAACGCTATCCGCCACATCCGCCATGATTGTGACGTCTCTTATGGTAAACAACTAAATGTCATTCGCGTGTTACTGTGGGTGGATTCTTTCGTCTGACTAAATTTATCTTAAAACACTTTTAACTTTAGAAAAGTTTCCGTTTACTGTTTTTTTTTTGAAAAAACTAATTATGGATGCCGGCTTTGTGAAAACAGAAAGCACAAATCTGCCAAGAATTGACGCATTCATGGTTGGTGAATTTATTGCACTAAACCCCGATTTCTGCTCTGCGGAGCAGAGAAACGACAAAGCATCTATGTAAGTACAGTGTATTTAGTATTACATTGTAGTAATAAACATAAAACTGATACAACATATGAATAAGTGTAATAAAGTTGCGTAGGTTAATTTCTTTCGGCACTTTTAATCCACAACTTTCCTGGAGTCTTCAAGGATGTGTTTTTATATTCTCGTACAATACAATAACGATAATTACTTTATTTTTCGGGGTATTTATTAGAAATCATCTTTTGATTATTATAAAATCAGTTAAGTTATTTTCTACGTGCTTACGAGTTTTTGTTTATTTACCTTTCTCTATGTGTTTACTGCAGTTAACGTCATAGCATAGATAATCTATAGACTAAAATGGCCGACAGCGTTTTTGTATGTCCATGAAAAATCTATTTTAAAATTAAAGATTTGTAGCTTTTTAGGTCTCAAAAAAATACAATACATTTTTTTTCGGTCTAATAGAACATTTATTAACCATTTAAAACCTTTTTCCAAAAAGGGTCAACTAGCCTATTGCCTCACCAATTTCATCATCCATAATAATATTAAAATATAAATATAATTTGTGTATATCTTTATTGTGTTATTTTGTAAATATGGTAATAATTAATTCTTTTTATATATATATTTTTTTAATTTAGTCTTGTACTAACATATGTATACCCTCCTGATCCTAATATTCAAAATCCCGAAAACCCTCCTTTTCTTTTCCTTACGTTTCCTAACCTTTATAATAATTACAAAATTGGCTAAAATGCACAAACCGTGCGAAGCCATACAAAAAAAAAAAAAAAAAAATAAACTTAATTTTTATTAAACTTTCAGAAACTAATTTCTCATGGAAAAGGAGGAAAGACTACAACGAATAAAAGTTAAGTGTTTTGTTATTATTTTATATAGTTTGACCTTTAAACTCAAAAAAGCAGGCATAAAATGTTCCTTTATAAAATTAAATTGCTTTTCGATTTATTTCAGCTGGAGCATTCTTGGCCTCAATAGCAGGAATCTCAGCAATTGTAGGATTCAGTGCCACATTAACAGCAGCAAAAAAAAGGGATCCGAAATATTTTAACAAAGGTATTTACTGAGACACCTTGCAGATGTAATACATTTAAACTTAATATTAAATGTGAAAACTTAAATATAAATTTTGCCTCGAACTTGAACTGAAATCTGTGTCCCAATCGCTTGGACTCGCTGGTAACTACAGTAGTTTTACCTTAGTTGCATTATTTAGAATAATCAAATTGCTTTGAAATCATTTTTATGTATGTATGTACCTATATGTATCATTTACATGAAAAAAAACAATCATATTACTAATAGTGACAATATCAAATGTTCTTAATCTGGTCCAACCAATAGTTAATAAAAATTATCCAAGTGTCAGATTTATTGGCACTGAATATGTTTTTAGAGCCAGGGGACTATGGTTAAAACGTTACTGTTACAACCAACGGGTCAGAGGTAAATAAGGGTAATAAGGTAAGGGTAAACTTGCTGCAGTGTCTCGGAATGACCATTAATTAGCAGAGCTCTCAAAAGGTGCTACTACCTATAAAATATATTTTCCACATCAAAAAGTAACTGTCATTAATTATCCATTAAGTTATCGGAATATAATACATTTCATAAGTTTATCAATTTCCTAGTAAATTTATCAACTTTCGTAAGAATGTAAACGAGAGATAAAATGTAATATTTTATGGGAACATTTTCGTAAATTGTAAGAATGTAAACGAGAGATAAAATGTAATATTTTATGGGAACATTTTCGTAAATTGATCAATTTACCGAGCTTAGCTGTTAAATAATATGTTAGTTGACAAACAAAAATTTTACATAAAGCTACAAAAGTTTTATAGCAGACATGACTAAACCAGTGAAAAGTCAGAATGAACTGAACAGAAGTTAAAAAATGTGACGAAGGCAGTATATGGGATATAACTGTACTTCCAGGGCGCAAGAGGTGATACTGATTTTTTTTTGTAGAGAAGGTATCTTAACAATTTTTTTTTCTGGTGCTTCGCCGGTCGCTATCCTATTCTAATCAAATAAGCCAGTCAAGATAAGACACTTGCGCTTTTTACTACAGCATTTAAGTTTAATTATTTATTTGGTAAGTCTGATCGTAACTTAGTCTATGGCGGCAAGCACCGAAGTCGCTAACGGCGACCAATCAGAAAGCTGTGTACTATTTCACGTTTTAAATGACGTAAAATTAAACTCTGTTCAGGGATTGCTCACGGTACTTAGAATTTTACATTGATAGGCTTGAAATTTTATGTTACTTAATGAATTTACCGCGAGACGTCTTAAATTGATTAATTAAGAAAAAAGGCCCTGTTCGATAATACATTTTATCTCTCATTTATATTCTTACGAAAGTTGATAAATTTACTAGAAAATTGATTAACCTACTGAATGTATTATATTCCGGTGACATATATATTGGTAACATGCAATTCAATGAAATAGTACATCAATGGATACTTATTGCTACAGGTCTGCACAGCAGTGTTGAGGTAGCAGATGCAGGTGCAATTCTTGCATTAAGAGCACTTGGATGGGGGACATTGTATGCTGTAGCTGGAACAACATGCTTTTGTTATGGAATTTATAAATTGTCTGGTGCTAAAAATGTAAGTTAAATGTGATTTAACTCTTAATGTATTCTAGTCTGAGCTATACAATATATAATTATATGATCTCTTAAAACACACTGCGTTAAGTGAAGAAGCAGTCTTATAACTTGGTGTAATCTATGGTACTTTTACAGTGAATATAGGGCATTACTTACTTGAGACCTTACTTATCCCACTTTTGACACCAACAAATGCTATTGATTACAACTGATACTAAAATGAAACGACTTATTCTAGAGACAGTGCCCGAACCAGAAATTTAGCCGCTCCGGGCAAAGATGATTTTCGCCGCTCTTTTCATACACACTATTAACATTTATGATGAATGTTGTTATATCAGTAATTATACAACATAGTTTAATGACTTTCTTTGGATTCTTGTTTTCAAAATCATTACATATCGAAAGAGTTAGTTCATTTGATTAATTTTAGAAGAAATACCAAAATAGGACTTTGGTTTCAGAGTTGGCCAAAATTTATTCGAATGACGAATAACGAATGAATAAATTGCTATTTGGTTACTCACGAATAATAAATAATTTCTTTTATTCAAAGGAAAATTATTTGAATGATGAATAAATTATTTTATTTGTTAGTCAGTTAATGAATAAAAATAAAACAAGGTATTTAAAGGCATTTAAATCAAATATTTATTTTCTTTCAATTATCATGTATTTACAGTTATGATTATTTCTTAATATTCGTTTTCATCACTACTCTTTCTTCAAACATGTTGCCAGACAATCTGCTTAAAATAATAATAAAAAGAAAAATAGCATTAATTGCCATTACTACAATTATAATACTTGTGATTTGATTAGCTGCACCGATCTGGTAAACATATTCCGAATGACTGGGGAGAGTACCCAGAATATTAGCAATTTACCAAAACAAAATAAATCTTTTGTGACCACAACTGATAAGAAAGTGCGCTCTCTCTCTCACTCGTCTACATATACAAGTATCGCTCTCTCGTAATGAATGATCCCTTTCTTGTGCCGCTATTATTCATTAAATTCCGGAAATCAGGCAGGCAGTTGACGATATACGTTTGGCACTAATACGTCTTATCGCTTTAATATTTAAATAACGAATAAAATCACGAATAATTTATTCGTATTATGTTAATGAATAATTTATTCGCGAATAATTATATTGCGAATAAAATTTTAAGATAATAAGATAATAACACTTTATTGCACAACAGTAACATAAAGATCACGAATAAAATACAAAACAAGTCAAAACAATTACAGTTGCACAAAGGGCGGTCTTATCGCTAATCAGCGATTTCTTCCAGACAACCCAATGAGCTGGAAAAAAAATATATATGTATAAAGCACGATAACAATAGTGAGGGAGGTTGTGCGGAATACAAGACAAAACTAGTGAAAATAGTAAGTTAAAAATAAATTAAAATAAATGCAAACTAAACATATAGGCATACACAAACATTCAAACATTTCACAATATAAGGCAACAGCCAGTATTACTAACGTAGCAATATTTTTAAAGACGCTCATCTGACAAGAAGTGTTCCTTAACTAGGGATTTGAAACAGGCTAGAGTTTGAGCACGCCTAATCTTTTCCGGCAGAGAATTCCATAATTGGATGGCACGTATAGTAAAGGAGTGGCTATACGCTTTCGAAAAGGAGGAGGAGGAGTAAAAATCAGGATATTGTCAGATGAACGAAGCGGAAGATTATGAGAAGAAGAAAGAAACTGAAACCGTTGTTTGAGTTAGACAGGAGCTTTTGGATTGAACAGTACTGAGAAGAGTAGGGATAATATATGCAGATCACGGCGGCGACGAATGGGAAGCCACTTCAATTTATTTATTTATTTTATTCTTCTTTACCAAAATACAGTAAATGGCGGACTTAATGCCATAGGCATTCTCTACCAGTCAACCAGTAAGGGTGTGGGAGACGAATGTTATGGCGATAGAGTGCGAGCTACTAAAGTTATAAAAACATATAATATTATCCTACTTAACGTAACTATACTATAATAAACGATAAATAAATATTATATAATAATCAAATATCATAAATACACATATAAATAGATATATACATATATATATATATATATATATATATAATAAACATACACATATAATTATATACATATAATAAACTAGTTAGAAGTAACTAATTATGATGTTACAGATGACTGAAGATTACAGAAATATTAGGTCGACAGATAGTGTGCACGTACTAGATTTTTAAACTCCAACTTACTACGAGCACTGCGAATATTCAATGGCAAAGCATTCCAGAGACGTATAGCCGTAATGGTGAAAGATTTGGAAACGAAACCAGAATGGTGAAAATGGGTTTTGAGGGTAAGGGCCTACAAGAGCGAAGATCACGCGGTGTAGAGGGTCCCAGAAACTGAAACCTAGATTTCAAGTATTCTGGGGCACGTGGATCGTATAAAATAGTGAAAAGCATGCACACAAATCGGAGATTTCTACGGTCACGTATAGACAGCCACTTGAGTTCATTTCTATAGTGAGAGATATGGTCGTACTTACGCAAACCGAAGATAAAGCGAATACCGCTATTGAGCAAACGATCCAGTTTAGAAAGAAGGTTTTGATTGATGTCAGAATAGCAGACGTCAGCATAGTCAAGGATAGGAAGTACGAGAGCCTGTACGAGCGTAACCTTTGTACTGGAAGGGAGAAAGAACTTTAATCTGTACAGAGCCCTAAGTGTGTTAATAATTTTACGGCAAACTTCATTAACTTGATCTTCCCAGCTGAGCGAACAGTCTATGAGTAGACCCAGATCCTTGACACTAGCTCGAAATCCAATTGAAGTACCATTATACAGTAACGGTTTTAGTGAACCTAAATCCAGAAGGGCCAACTGTCGAGAGCTCCCTATTATGATTGCTTGGCATTTTGCTGGATTTACAGAGATACCGTAACAGTTGGACCATTCCGAAATCCGATGAAGGTCATCATTTAGGCATGCCAGGGCCACATCTAAATCATTTTTGTCGGCATGAACATATAGTTGAAGATCGTCCGCATACAGATGGTAAGAGGAATGAATCATAGTTGTGAGAAAGTTGATAAACAACGAAAAAAGAAGAGGAGAAAGAATACCGCCCTGGTGGAACACCAGCAATGAGTTCGCACCAGTCCGAAATGGTCTGGTCTACCCGAACAGCCTGTTGGCGTCCACGAAGATATGATGAAAACCAGGTCCCTACTGAAGAAGAAACTCCCAGATGTGAAAGAATTGCCAGGAGAATCTCATAGTTAACCATGTTGAATGCATTTGAGAAATCAATGAGGATCATAACAGTTAACTGCGATTTCTCCATACCGTTGCGAATGTCATCCAGGACATTGATAAGGGCAGTAGTTGTACTATGTCCAGGACGAAACCCAGATTGTAATGGGCTAAGAATTTTGTTGCGAAAGATAAAAGAGGAGAGTTGATTGTGGACAGCAGCTTCTAAAACTTTTGAAAGAAAGGGATGTATAGATATAGGCCGATAGTGGCTTAGAGAGGAGGGACTATTTATTTTAGGGAGAGGGGTAGTTAGTGCTTTTCGCCAGATAGAAGGAAGGTACTAAAGAAAGCGAAAAATTGAGAATTAAAGTGAGACTCGGAAGTATACATTCTAATATAGGTATAATCATATTTCTGCCAATATCTTCACAACCCACTGCCTTGGACTTTATTGAAAGGACAATCTTACGGACGTCTTCTTCAGTTAAAGGACGAAAACAAAATAAATCACTTGTTGAGGAAGCCAAGGAAGTGATAGAGGAAACAGTAGAGAGCATAACAGAAGTAGGGAGAGAAGAAACAGATGAGAAATGCTTGTTAAGCTCATCCAGTAAAAATGAAGGGATATGTTTGGTGGTAGTTTTACCAAAACCAAAACTTTTTAGAAACTTCCATGTATCAGCTAGATTTGAATTTGAAATATTTTGATGAATGTATTGGCGTTTAGCGGCTCTCACCATCTGATTGCAGCGATTCCTAGCCGTTTTAAAGGCACACCAGTTATCATCGGTGCGGCAACGTTTGTACGCACGGAAATACTTGTTTCGCTTTCTCATTGCCATGCGAACACCCGCAGTAATCCAAGGCGCTGGTGGCCGTTTTAATTTAACAAATTTTTTAGGGGCGTGTCGGTCGTAAAGATTAAAATAGTTTTATTAAAGTAAGAGATCATACTATCGACGGAACTTGTTTCATGAAGAGGATACCAGTTAATACCACAAGCATCGCTTTGCAATTTCTCCACATCCAGTCTAGCAAAATTACGCATTCGTACAATAATTGGCTTTGGCTTTGGAGGTTTGGCTTTATATGCAAGAAAAACAAGGTCGTGCCTGGAGAAGCCAGGTGCCTGTAATAAGAAACATGGTCGTACTTACGTAAACCGTAAATAAATCTGATGGAAAATTTTTGCAGACGTTTAAGTTTACTAAGAAGTTCATAGGTAAGATAGGGTTAACAAACATCTGCATAATCGAGAATAGGTAGAAGAAGAGAAGTTGCAAGAGAAATTTTGGTGGCAGTGGGCAAAAAATTACGTAGTCGTAAAGATCCAGCCGCAGCAAAAGTTCGCCTACTGACCTCAGCAACCTGAGGACACCAAGATAGAGTGTTATCAAATATGACCCCCAAATTCCGAACTGTTTCAGAAAATGGAAAAAAAAGGTAAATTTAAAAAATCAAAAAACCCGACTGCTTAATTATACTTCAAATAAAAACTGAAAAGAAAAAAACAAGTCCAGTAGTCTATAATTCTGTTAATAAGGAACAAAGCTACTTTAACAGTCGGGACCCATTAGATATTCAAGAATACATAATATTTTTCAACAGTGGGTCCCGACTGTTAAAGTAGCTTTGTTCCTTATTAACAGAATTATAGACTACTGGACTTGTTTTTTTCTTTTCAGTTTTTATTTGAAGTATAATTAAGCAGTCGGGTTTTTTGATTTTTTAAATTTACCTTTTT